CCATCTTCATCTCCATCATCATCATCGTCTCTTCATCATCATCATTTCAATCACCTCTGAGCATCCAGCTCTATCTCCATCGGAAGTGTTGACTCTCCAGTACCAGCCCATTCAAGAATCGCATTTCCTTGCTCCATGGCGAGCCCATCTGAACTTTCTGCTCCTCCTCCTCCTGCTTCTGCTGCTGCCGCTGCTGCTGATCCTGCTCCTCCTCCTGCTTCTGCTGCTTCTGATCTTGCTGCTGCTGCTCCTGCCTGTGCTGCTCTTCCTCCTATTGCAACAGTTGCTTGCACCCCTTGAGCACAGCTGAATTCTTCGCCTGTTCCATCTCCACTACATCCTGCTCCTGCTCCTCCTGCTCCTCCTGCTCCTCCTGCTCCTGCTCCTGCTACTGCTCGCCCAACTGCGCCTCGTTCATTGCTGCCACTCCTGCTGCCATTCTGGCCTCCGTTTCCCTTGCCACCCACTATTCGCTCTGATCTTCCTTCTCCTCCTCCTTTATCTCCTCGCCTCATTCTTTCCGATGGAATGCAGGCCTTTCCTTGCGGTCACCTCCTCCTCATCCTCCTCCCTCTCCTCCTCCTCCTCGCTTCAGAGCTCCTCCCTTTCTTCTGAAAGAAAAATTTCAATGATGCATTTGAGAAGACATGTGGACAAATCAGCAAGACAGGGCTCAGCTTGGGAGGGGCGAGAGAAGGGAAGGTGGCGATGAAGTTGGCGATGCTCATGCTTATGATGAAGACTACTGAAGCAAATGGGCCAGGAGGAACAGAGGGCGAGGAGAAGTGAGGATGGGAGGAGGGTGAGAGTGAGGTTGAGGAAGAGTAAGGATGGGAGGAGGTGAAGGAGTAGGGATGGGGGGAGGAGAGTGAGGAGGAGGAGGGATGAGAGAGTAGGGAGGGGAAGAGGAGTTGAAGGAGAAGTAGGGAACAGGAGGAGGAGAGGAGGTGGTGGTGGTGGAGCAGGAGCAGGAGCAGGAGCAGGAGCAGAGGAGGGGGAGGGGAAGGGGAGCAGGAGCAGGAGCAGATCAGGTGGTGGTTGGTGGTTGATGGTGGTGGAGGAGGAGGAGGTGGAGGAGGAGGTGGTGGTGGTGGAGAAGGAGAAGGAGGAAGAGGAGGAGGAGGGGAAAGCGCAGGATCCCAGCTCGGACAGAGCTCGGACATGGACAGAGTTTCAGGTCGTCCAACATGCGCGGTCTCCTAGGAATCCAAATGGTCTCCCAACATGTGCGGTACACATTCAGAGGCCCATAACCAAAAATGGCCCACACGCCTGACCTGCTTTTTAAATTGTACTCAGCACCACCCACCCTCTTTCCACCCTCCCTGATCAGTGTACCCCTGCAATTACCATTTTGGTACCCCTCCATTTTACCTCTTTTTGTGCCAATGGTGACCCTACCCCGTCTCTCCTGAATCCTTACCCCTCCTTGCAGGAAAGTGACCGTTAAAAATCGCAACCCCCCGCTGTATGGAGTGATTCCTCACCCCTACTCACCCCCACCCACCAAATTTTGGATCCTCTTGGAATGATACCGGTCTGTTTGACTGAAATCATCCGGGACCCTCTGTGAATTTCTGTACTACGGTACCCCCACCCTCGGACAAGAGTGGTACCCCTACCCTCCCCATTGTCGACTTTTGAAAGCCAGAATGGAAGTACCCTTACCACCAATTTCATGGTCGTAAGTACCCATAGTCATAGCACAGCCTCCTGCAAGTCACTGACTGGGGAGCTCCATGGCGGGTCCCCGGTTTTCCCTTCCTGCCCTTCGCTTCCTCTCCCCCCCCCCCCTCCCTCCTCTCTCCGTCCTCCTCCTCCTCCTCCTCCTCTCCCACAACGCTCTCGCTGCTGACTACGGCCAGCTCTGCTACTCGGCCGAGGAATGCCGCTCAGAAGAAGCTCCCTACTGCCAGTACTTCTTCACTGACAACACGTACAAGTTCAACACTCAGTCACGAGGATGGAGCAAGCCAGCGGATGAGACAAGGCCGCGCAAGTTCGGTCTCTGCGTGCAGTGCATCTCCGACTGCGACTGCGGCGTCAACGAGTACTGCGGCATCGACAACAAGAACCCTGTTGTTATCCCCTACAACCTGACGTCCAACAACACCGGCACTGGCCTCACCCCCGGAAGGAAGCTCAGGATGATGGTGTATGCGAAGCAGTTCGAGGGCCTCCCCCTCCGCTCCAAGTGCAAGAGCTACGACCTTCCCAAGTCCAACTGCGACACCTCCCTTGACAAGAGCGCTTACCAAGAGCATGTCTTCACTTCAGTTCAAGTTGCCAATACGGACGACCCCAACAACGTCACTTACCAGGAGAACCGAGGGACTCCGTTGGGATGGCCCAAGGAGGCAGAAGGTAGGATGAGGATGTAGCTTCCGCATGCCATGGCGACCTGACCCTTCTCGAATCCTCAGACAGGTACTGTGGCCGAGTAAACTCTTGGGCTCCAGCGTTCCTCAAAGTTGTGGATCTCAGCTCAGTCAACGCGTACCCCATGCTCCTTGTCAACAAAGTTCAGCAGCACTCTAGCGCCGTGTCCACCCGCAATCTGTACAACACCCCAGCTACCTGCGTGCCGGTGATGCTACCTGTGCATGATTGAATGTCCCCAGCATCATCTCCACCTGAGTTCTCAGCTCTGCTCCAAGAGCTCTTTCCCGGCTTGATCTGAAGGTTTCTTGCAGTATGTGATCGTGAGAAATACCTCTGTGTGCCCATCGTGCCTGTACCGTGACGGTCTCTGCATGAATCAGACTGATCGTTTCTGCTGCGAGGTGAGGAGGAGGAGGCGGAGGAAAAGGAAGAGAAGATGTGCAGTATGTGTTGACCTGGCCTCGTACAGGCGAATGATGGCTTCAATGAAGCTACAAGGCAGTGTTCAGTCGACTACAGGAGCTGCGAGGGAGCTTGCCAGCCCCCTACACAGATTTTCGGAGTAACTTTCAGCAAGGATACTTGCACGGTGAGCTAGGAAACGTTCCCTGCGCCTTTGACTCTCCTGCTCGAAGGCTCCCGGGGGGCCGCAGAGGAGCGATGAGAAGACCTACTGCAGATGCCTTGCCAGCTGCAAAGAATGTGTCGCAAACTCCGGAGGTAGGGTGCAGGGTTGGGAATGAGGTCGGAGGGGAAAGTGGAGCAGTGTGGGAGGGTGAAGGAGGAAGAGGACGAGGACGAGGACGAGGAGGGAAAAGGCAGGCATATGTTTTGCTGGATTTTGACTTGCTTGCAAGGTTGTTCCAGCGACACTGCGCAAGGACAGTGCAAGCTCTGCACTGCCGCACCTACTCCTCCTCCACCGTCTCCTCCTCCTCCTCCTCCTCCTGCTATCACCGATGGCTACCAATGCGATGCACCGTCGGTCAATGCCCAGCAGTACGAGGCGTACCAGCCTCCGTCGTGGGGTCTAAGCACATCAGCCTACTGCCAGTACGTCCTGAGCTGAAGTCCAGCTGATACTGAGCTGGCTGTGCAGGCCGGCGTGTGTTGACTGCCTTGTCACAGCGGCCCGTTACGGCTGCACGACCTCACAACTATGTGGAGATATCAAGTTGGAAGTGCAGGTATGCCGACAAGGGAGAGCAGGAGCAGGAGCAGGAGCAGGAGCAGGAGCAGGAGCAGGAGCAGGAGCAGGAGCAGGAGCAGGAGCAGGAGGCGATGGAAGAGGAGACGTTAGCTGGGGAAAAGACAGAAGGAGGAGTAGAAGTTGACTGAGGAAGGAGACAGACGCAGAGGACATGCTTTGAAGAGGACGCATAGGAGGCATGATGATAACTGTGGTTGGATTTACCCGCAGGCTGATGGAAGTTGTTCAACTACTGGGGAGTTCAGGCACGAGGAAGAGTCGTTCTCCTTCCACTTCGTCTCCCCTCCTATCGACTACACCGGCCACTGCACCCAGACCGACTGCAAGATTTGCTTGTACGGATCTCCTCCTCCCCTTCCGAAATATGTCTCCTGCTCCATCTTTTTCTTTTGCTCCTCCTGCTCCTTAATGAGCCTCCTGATCCTCCTCCCTCCTCTACCTCTTCCTGTTTCTCTTCTCGCTCTCCTCCTGCTCTGTTTTCCTCCACTTGCTCTTGCTCTGTCCCCCCGACTGCAAGATTTGCTTGTACTGAACCCGCTCGCTCATTCCTCACGAAGTCTACTCCTCTTCGCTCGTGCCTCCTGCTCCCCCGCTTCTCCTTTTCCTTTCTTTCTTGTTGCTGCTACTGCTTTTCTCTCTTTCGTCCTGATCCTCCTCCCTCCTCTACCTCATCCTGTTTCTCTTCTCGTTCTCCTCCTACTCTGTTTTCCTCCTCTTGCTCTTCCTCTGTCTCCCCTCCCTGGTCGTCCTCCTCCAGCTCGTCCTGATCCCTCCTCCTCATCTGACGCCTGTACTTCAGGGACGGGCAGGAGCGATGTACCGCCACCGACAACAAGGGACATAGACAGACCTGCATCAGCAACGAGTGGGTGTCCTGGACGTCCAAGGAGATCAAGCAGCCCGCGGTCGACGTTGGCTCCCGTGCTCTCATCGCCATTGCGGTACCTACAACTCACTCCTTCTCTACTTCAACTCTCCTCTTGCTGATCCCTGTCCCTCCTCTACTCTTACACCTGCTCCCCTCCTTCGCTCCCCTGCTGCAACAATCTCCTTGAACTGGTTCTTCCTTTCTCCTTCCCTACTCTTGTTCCCTCTTCCCTTTACCCCTCCTCTTCTCTTGCTCCTCCTCCCCTCCCTCCTCCTGCACTCTGTTCTTCCTCTCTCCCTTTTCTCTTCCTCCATCCTCCCCTCTACGGTCCACTTTCGGCCTCCATCCTCCCTAACCCTCCCCCTCCATGCTCTCCTGCTTTCCTTCTCCCTCCTTCCGCCTTCTTGACTTCCCTCCCTTAGGTTTTCACTGCCATCACCTTCCTGGCTGTTCTGCTGGTCACGGCATCGATTATGAACCGGATCTCTGCCCAGCAGAGGAGTTTCCCAGCTCCCCTCCCGGAGCAGTACGGAGGAAAGGCAGCTGCCTTCGTGCAGACCCCTGGGAACTTTCAGCAGACCCCAGCTCCCCTCCCAGCTCCCACCCCAGCTCCAGCCGTCGACCAGCCCCCCTCCAACGTCACTACGATGCCTAATGGCATTCAGGTTCATGTTGCGTAGAACAACGAAACTCGCTCTCCCCGCACCTTTGTCGTTATCCTCCTGTGTCCTCTCATACTCGATTTCTTCCACTCTCCTTCTCTTCTCTCCTCTCCTCCTCGCTCTCCGCCTTCCTTTCCTCCTGCCTCCTCGTCCTCCTCTTGCCTAGATCTCGTCTCCCTCGCTTCATCTCAGCGTCCACCTCCTCTTCAACACGCCCAACTCTTTGCAACTCTCCATACTTGACGCTGACAAGTTTACTTCTCTTCATCTCGTAAAACTCAAATCAACATGCCGACCCTAGCCCGCTCCTCCTCATCCCCCTACAACGCTTGCGGTCGCTTCCACATGGTCCACGATGGCATCCGCTCCCCCTCGTACTCGAAAACAGCATCATCAATCGTCTCAAACCCCAGCCGCTCATAGAAACGAACGTTGGGCTCCTCCTGCGTTGTCAAGATCACCCCGTGCTCGCTCGGTCCTGCCGTATTGAGCATGTGCGACAAACAGGCGGACCCTAACCCCTTCCCTTGCCATCCGGGCTTGACCACCACTCTCTGCAGCGACCAGGTTTCCTTCTTGATACCATGATCTTGCATCGTCTTCTCCAACCTGTCCTCTACCCATCCTTTCACCCGCAACATTTTCATCGTTGGCCCAAAACCCACATTGAACGGCATGGAGTACAATCCCAGCCTGATCATGTCCCACAGTGAGAGAGAGGAGGAATCTCCCTCCAGCAGCACAAAGAAAGACACCATTTCTCCCCCACAGAAGGTGCATACCCCCGCTCCTTGCTCCACATACGCCACGAAGTTTCTTTCGAACAGCCATTGTAAGCAGAACGCAATCTGCTCACTCTGCTTCTCCGAGAAGATCCATCGGTAGAAGGGGGAGGAGAGGAAGGCAGCAGCTGCTAGCTGGGCTGCCTCCTCCACCATGCTGCTCTCCAACCTCCTCATCTCCAACTTCAGCTCCCTGACCTCGAGCTCCGCTATGACCGCCATTACGTATCGCTGTACGTAACCGCGATAGCTGGTGGTCCGCCCAGTGATCAACCCGATAACTGCCGATAACTGCCCGATAACTGCCCGATAACTGCCCGATAAGTCCTCTGAAGCCGACAGCGATGCTGAAGTACTGCCTTCATTGCAAGGCAAGGAGCAGCTGGGATGAGATGCTGTTACCTTCAGTTACATGCTTGATGATGGAGATGTTTGCTTTGCTCCCCCGCATCTGTTCCTTCCATCATTCAACTCCTTTCTTGGCGGCTCCTTCGCTTCCTCCCAACACTTTTCTTGACCTCCTTACTTGTGTTTCTCCAGATCGTGGTCAATAAAGGTACCGACGACAGCACGAGATGCGTAATTTGAGTAGCTTCTAGTAGGCGTCATCTGACTTTGTGTGTTTTACGCTCTGCCATGAATTGCGATGATGTTATTCGGAAGGCGGTAAGCATCAGTCTGTGCAGCATATGCTCGTTCAGTGAACGATTAGACTGACATGCTCTTTGTAATTTTTTGGGTTTATCATCGGGACAATTCGCTGGCTGACGTGCTTTCTTTTCTCAACTTCCATCGTTTTGTTGCTGGGATTGGAAACAATGGTCTGGATAGGGAGTGAGTAACATTTGCAACGATGCTGACATCAAGGAACGATTGACCGACATTTTTCGTATATTTTTCGGTTTTCTCATCGAATGGGTTGTTGACTGGACTGGATAGGATGTAAGTGACCAATCATGAAAGATGCGGTCAGGGGATGGTTGGCTGACATTTGCTTTGCAATTGCTACTCTTTCTTGGCTTGTTTTGATGGAATCTGTCTTCATAGGCAGTAAGTGTCATACCATATGATGCGGTCAGGGATCGATTTGCTGGCTGACAATATTGGTGTATTTTTCTCGGTTTTTCATCGGATGGGTCATTGATTGGGCTTGACAGCTGGTAAGTCACGATCATGAAGGATGCGGTCAGGGGACGACTGACTGGCTTACGATTTTCGTGCATTTTTCGGTTTATCATCCGATGGGTTATTGATTGGGCTGGATAGGATGTAAGTAACAATGATGAAAGATGCGGTCAGGGAACAATTGGGTTAATATTCTACAACAGGCTACCTTCAAAGCTGGAGCCCAAGGACGGTGTGCGACCTGTTCGAAGCTTGAACAAGAGCACCTCACAGATAGAAAGTTCTGCTACGTAAGCATCCGTTCGCTCAGATAATGATTGAACTGACATGTAGCTTTGCAAATCTTGTGGGTGTTCATCGGCTGGGTTGTGAATGAGGCTGAATAGCGGGTAAGTCACAAATCGTAAAAGATGCGGTATTGGCTTGCTGACGATTTTCGTTCATTTTTCGGTATTTTCATCGGATGGGATGTTGATTGGGCTTGATAGCTGGTAAGCTACGAGTCATAAAACATGCGGTAAGGGGATGATTGGACTGACAATCATTTTGTGTATGTGTCGGTATTTGCTCGAATGTACTGTGGATGGGGCGGTATAGCGGGTAAGTAACGATGATGAAAGGTGCGGTCAGGAAGGGGATGATTGGACTGACATTTATTTTGTGTATGTGTCGGTATTTGCTCGAATGTGCTGTGGATGGGGCGGTATAGCGGGTAAGTAACGATGATGAAATGCGGTCAGGGGACGATATGGCTGACGTGTTCTTTGCACTTTTGTGGTGTCTCATCGGATGGGTCATGAATGTGGCTGAATAGAATGTAAGTAACAATAATGAAAGATGCGGTCAGGGGACGATAGGGATTTGACGTGTACCTTGTGATTTTATCGGGTTCTCATCGGATTTGCTACGATTGGGGCTTGCACAGGATGTAAGTAACCATCTTCAAATATCGGGAAAGATTGGCTCACATGTGGATTTGCGTTTTTTGGTCTTTGTATCGGCTGGATTGTGAATGGGGCTTGATAGGGGGTAAGTGAGGATGATAAAATATGCATGGGACGATTGCCTGACAAAATTTTGTGTTGTTGTTTTTCTCGGTTATTCACCGACTGTTGATTGGGCCGGATAGTATGTAAGTAACTATCATGAAAGATGCGGTCATGGAACGATTAGCTTACAATTTTCGTGTATTTTCGGTTTTTGCATCGGATGGGATGTTGATTGGGCTGGACAGCTGGTAAGTTACAATTGATGAAACATGTGATCAGGGGAAGATCGGACTGACAAATCATATAGACCTTCGATCCGGACGACAATGACAACTGCGAATGGTGTGGCTGTAACAAAGATGATCACATCGACAAAGCGATTTGCCCGGTAAAGCCGATCATTCGCTAAGGGGACGATTGGCTCACTGTTTTTGTTCATTTTTCGGTTCTGTCGTCGGATGGCTTGTTTGTTTTTTAATGGGCTGGATAGGGAGTGAGTAACAAATGAATGATGTGGTCGGGAATGATTGAGCTGACAAGTATTTTGCAAATCTTACCGGTTATTGCTCGGATGGACGGAATGGGGCTGCATAGCAAGTAAGTGAAGAATATGAAATTTGCGGTCATATTCATGGGGCGATTGGCTGACATAATTTTGTGTTTTTCTCGATTATTCGTCGGATGGGATGTTGATTGGGCTGGATAGGATGTAAGTAACAATGATGAAAGATTGGATAAGGGGAAAATTGGCTGGCTGACGATTTTCGTGTATGTTACGGTTTTTGTATCGGATGGGATGTTCATTGGACTGGCTAGTGGGTAAGTGACAAATCATAAAAGATGCGGTCATTCCGAACGATTGGCTGGCTGACGATTTCCGTGTATTTTTCGGTATATTCATCGGATGGGATGTTGATTGGGCTTGACAGCTGGTAAGCTACGAGTCATAAAACATGCGGTCAGGGGATGATTGGACTGAATTTGTTTTTCAAAATTCCTGGTTTTTCCTTGTTTCGTTCTTCATAGGGAGTAAGTGTCATATCATATGATGTGCTCAGAGAATGATTGGCTGACATGTATTTTGCCATTCGGGTCTTTGCTGGCATGGTCTGGGTTGCGGCTGATCTTTTTTCTAGTGCTGCGTTTGCTACTTCGACGGCAAACCTGAAGATGAAAGGCAAATAATCATGTGCCAGCACTGCAAGGATCGACGTTCCTGCGTGCACAACCTTGAGCAAGATCTTGTATCGTCAAGACCCAGTAGGCAGGACGCCATCGCCAAGATCGAGAAGTTCCGCAAATACGCTAACAACGTGATGAAGCCGTTTGCCGAGAGACTGGACCTAGTCAAGTGCCACTACATCTTCGGGATGCAAGAGATGGATAGCTCTGCTGTCGAAGAGGTGAAGCAGCTCCTGTCGGGCGGAGAGCTCGGGAGCTGCTACGACAGCAAGACGGGCACGCTCAACATGTCTTTGCGGACAGATGGGATGAAACGATATGTGATACGAGATCTGAGGATGAAGAGCCTGCCTCGATGGATCTCCAAGCTCGGCGTTGCTTTCAAAGTCATCGACGTGTCCGGTAACCCCAGCCTCTCCCACTTTCCCTTGGACGAGCTGTGCAGCATGGAGTCTAGCCTGCAGGAGGTCAAGTGTGAGAGCTGCGTCAGGCTGCAGCTGCCTCCCCCTGAGATCGCCAGTCAGGGAGGGGCAGCTGCTTTCACGTACCTGCAGAGCGTCAAGAGAGACAGCGAGGCGAACAAGCGGATCAACCTGATCCTCATAGGCAACGGAGAGGCAGGCAAGACGAGCGTGCTGAGAGCTCTGAGGTCAGACAAGGACAAGGCGGACAAGATCGAGGTAGACAGGAGGACGATCGGGATAGACCTGCACGAGTGGGAGCCTGAGGACGCTGACGGGCTGACGTGTGACGTGATGGACTTCGGGGGGCAGCAGATCTACGCCAAGACGAACCAGTACTTCATCGTGAGGCGGGCCTTGTACCTGCTGGTGTGGAACGTGAGGGGGAAGCGAGACAAGCAGAGCATGGAGGAGCTGAAGATGATGATCGCTACATGGCTGCGAGCTACGCAAGCGCGAGTGCCGGGATCGAGCGTGTTGCTCGTAGCAACGCACATCGATCTTGTCGGGGAGAGCGAGGTGACGGATCAGTGTGAGGAGGTGAAGGCATGTGTGGAAGAGGAGCTGAAGAAGATGGCAGAGGATGAAGATTTGCATATCCTGCCGTTGCACGTCATCAACGGAGGCGAGAGCTTCCGGGTGAACTGTCTTGAGGGACAGGGGGTGAAGGAGCTGCGGCGATCTGTGTGCAAGACTGCAAAAGAGCTGCTGTGGTGGGAGGAAAGAATCCCTAGACCTTATCTGAGACTGAGAGAGGCTGTGGAGAAGCGAAAGTCAGGGTCTGTCTCGTACGTCAAGGTAGAGGAGTACAAGGAGATGTTGAGAGAGTCAGGGGTCAGCGAGAAAGAGCACAAGGTGGCGACGAGCTTCTTGCACGACATGGGCGTGCTCAAGTACTTCGGTCATGAGCTGAGCGCCGATCAAAGCAAGAGAGACCTAGGCAAGTACTCCGTCGAGGACACGGTCTTCATCGATCCCGTGTGGATGATCGACGTGTTCAAGGGCGTGATGCGACATGACTGGGAGCACCTGCTCGACTTCTTCCAGCAGGACCCGACCAAGTCCAAGAAGACGAAGAAGCTGCTACACCTGGGTATCATAGACGAGGACATGTTGGAGTACTTGTGGCCCCAGCAAGACAGCGACTTCTGGCGCAATGCGAAGACAGACAAGACATCAAGATCAGAAGAGGTAGGCTTCATCAAGAGCCATGTGGAGGTGCAGGAGGCGGTGGCTCTGCTGCGAGGCTGCGATCTGGCGCACTTCCTGGGCGAGGGGATGAAGGACTTGAAGGATACAGACAACAAGAGCAGAGAGCTGCTGTGTCCCGGCATCATCCCGTCGTTCACGCATGAGCACAAGCGAGCAGTGACGGACAAGGACAAGCAGTCGCTGTGCGCATCTGTCGAGTGCGAGTACAACATTTTCCCCGCAGGCTTCATCGACAGGCTGGTCGTGCTGTGCGCTGCTCGACACTTTGAGGTAGACTGCAGCGGCTCTATGGCGGTGATGAAGGGCTGGGGCCGGACGCTGCTGGTGAGCTGGCGGGAAGACAATGACAAGCACGTGCTGAGAGCTGATGCGTCGACGAGGCAGCAGATCGAGAACTTGCAAGAGGACTTGAAGCAACTGGAGGCGTTCTTCCCGGGGATGAAGCGAAGGAGAAGCGACAAGGAGAGCTCAGGCAAAGAGGCCGTGCAAATAGGGATCTTCACGCAAGGAGAGAGGTCAAGAGCATGTGGGCTGGATATTGAAAGAAAGGTGAAGAAGCTTTACAAGGCGGAGAACCTCCCTCTAGGTCTTACTTGCCAGACACATCCATGTGACGAACGTGGAGGTGCTGGTGATGAATGTCTCGTGAACATCTTGTGTATATCGACAGAGTGTGTTGATGAGCAGGGACCCATTCAAGGAGAAAGTAGCTTCAGCAAGTTATGGAACAGATTGACAGCGAGCGAAGCAATTATCATCCCCGTCGTATTGACAGACTACTACGACAAGCAGATCAAGCTGACGAACAGGTTCAACGAGTGGTGGCCGCAGGAGATACAAGGGATGGAGCGATACCGGATCTTCCATCAGTACAAGGAGAATGATCAAGGCTCGATGCGAACGTTGTATGACGGCATCATCAAGAAGCTGCATCAGGGACGAGGAAGCTTCGAAGACTTGTACGAGGTCACCAGTCAGAACGAGCTTCTGTGCCAAGCTTGTTTGCATGATAGGTCTGAGTCTCAACCTGCCTCCCAAGGCGATCGAGCCGTGGGCAGGTTTGATCGGTCGGAGATCAAGGCAGCGCTAGATAAAGAAAGGAAGGGTATGACAGACATGCAGCAAGAGCTGGAGCAGGAAGATGTCATCAAACACAAGATCATGATCAAAGCAATCACTTGCACAAGGGGTCATACGACAACCGTGGAGGAGGTGCTGGCGTTCAATGGCTCGAGCTCCCCGTGTCCGTCTTGCTTGAAGGACAAGAGAGTCCCGCACTTCTTCAGCCGACCCAAGTGCTTGAGCATGCTCGCTCGCGACCTGACGGCTAAGATTTACTGCGACGGATGTCAGAGGGAGATGGACGTGCTGGACGTCACGCCGCCGCAGGTGTTCTTGAGCTACCAGTGGGGGCACGACAACTCGACGCAGAAGATGGTGAGGGAGGTGAAGCGGCGGATCGAGGAGCAGACAAGCCTGCAGTGCTGGTTCGACGTGGAGGGAGGGATCAACCCCGGGGAAGATCACATGCAGAAGATGGAGCTCGGGGTGTCTCGCTGCGAGGTGTTTGTAGTCTTTATGAGCGACAAGTACGTCAAGAGCGGCAACTGCAGGAGAGAGTTTGCTCGGGCGTGTGAGGCAGGGAAGTACATCATACCTGTGCTGGTGCCGGTGCTGTATGAAGCAAGTCGAGACTCAAAGGACTTGGAGTCAGAGTCAGGCTGGAAGGGCGACAAGGGGGGTGAAGACTGGTGGAAGAGAATTGCGGAGCTAGAGAAGGAGACAAGTGAAGCTGCCAACAAGGTCAAGGTCGACTGGACGTATCTCGCGTCATTCTCAAAGCCCTTGGAGGTTCAAGCAAAGAGGGAGCAGCAAGAGCAACAGCAGCAAGAGAAGGACCGTGGTGGTTTGCATGTGTCAGGGCTGGAGGCGCTGGTGGCAGCAGTGCAGGCGAGGGTTTACCGGGGAGGCGTCGTATTTCATGAGGTAGCGGTTGACATGGCCTTGACATGCGTGGAGCCAGTGGAGCACCCGTTTCTCAGGTCGTTACATCTGCAAAAGGACCTGCTCAACAGCATTCTTGACCGTATCAGCCTGCTGCAGTCAAAGATACGTTCAGGCATTGACAACCCTGATGATCTAGCTTGACTCTGTGAACTTGAACCAACTGTCGAACTTGTGTTAAGCAAGCAAACAGGAACCTCAACACAACCGCGCTCGCCGAACGTATAGAATGTTAGGATAGATTTATGACCAAATCGACAGGATAAAAAAAAGCTAGGTGACTGAAGTATACGTGACCGCTCAAGCAACTCCTATCATTACGCTCCCAAGCGCATCATCTGAGAAACATCTCGATGAACTTCGCTGCATCAGGAATTAGAATTAGTCAAATTAAACTCACGCATCAATTGACGAAGAAATGGCGTCTTCGATTCACGGAATGACAACCAAGAATCAGACGCAGTATTATCATAACCTTTCCATCTGATCAAGTATTGCACACGACGACCTTTCCCACGACGTGCTAAGATACGATCCACTTCGTAACACTAACCATTCGGATGCACAATGGGCTCAGGTGGTGCAACTAAGGCTCTCGAATCGCAATCGTCGAACAAGTTACAGCAGCTGGCTGACTGTGCTTGAGCAGAGGTCGACTCTGATGTGCTTGAGCAGAGGTCGACTCTGATGTGCTTGAGCAGAGGTCGACTCTGATGTGCTTGAGCAGAGGACGACTCTGATGTGCTTGAGCAGAGGTCGACTCTGATGTGCTTGAGCAGAGGTCGACTCTGATGTGCTCGAGCAGAGGACGACTCTGATGTGCTCGAGCAGAGGTCGACTCTGATGTGCTCGAGCAGAGGTCGACTCTGATGTGCTCGAGCAGAGGACGACTCTGATGTGCTCGAGCAGAGGACGACTCTGATGTGCTTGAGCAGAGGTCGACTCTGATGTGCTTGAGCAGAGGTCGACTCTGATGTGCTTGAGCAGAGGTCGACTCTGATGTGCTTGAGCAGAGGTCGACTCTGATGTGCTCGAGCAGAGGACGACTCTGATGTGCTTGAGCAGAGGTCGACTCTGATGTGCTCGAGCAGAGGACGACTCTGACGTGCTTGAGCAGAGGACGACTCTGACGTGCTTGAGCAGAGGACGACTCTGATGTGCTCGAGCAGAGGTCGACTCTGATGTGCTCGAGCAGAGGACGACTCTGACGTGCTTGAGCAGAGGACGACTCTGATGTGCTCGAGCAGAGGACGACTCTGATGTGCTTGAGCAGAGGACGACTCTGACGTGCTTGAGCAGAGGACGACTCTGATGTGCTCGAGCAGAGGTCGACTCTGATGTGCTCGAGCAGAGGACGACTCTGACGTGCTTGAGCAGAGGACGACTCTGATGTGCTCGAGCAGAGGACGACTCTGATGTGCTCGAGCAGAGGTCGACTCTGATGTGCTCGAGCAGAGGTCGACTCTGATGTGCTCGAGCAGAGGACGACTCTGACGTGCTTGAGCAGAGGACGACTCTGACGTGCTTGAGCAGAGGACGACTCTGATGTGCTCGAGCAGAGGTCGACTCTGATGTGCTCGAGCAGAGGACGACTCTGACGTGCTTGAGCAGAGGACGACTCTGATGTGCTCGAGCAGAGGACGACTCTGACGTGCTTGAGCAGAGGACGACTCTGACGTGCTTGAGCAGAGGACGACTCTGATGTGCTCGAGCAGAGGTCGACTCTGATGTGCTCGAGCAGAGGACGACTCTGACGTGCTTGAGCAGAGGACGACTCTGATGTGCTCGAGCAGAGGACGACTCTGATGTGCTCGAGCAGAGGTCGACTCTGATGTGCTCGAGCAGAGGTCGACTCTGATGTGCTCGAGCAGAGGACGACTCTGATGTGCTCGAGCAGAGGACGACTCTGACGTGCTCGAGCAGAGGTCGACTCTGACGTGCTTGAGTTGGCTCACGTGCAGGGCAAGGAACAAGGTCAGGAGGCAGAAGCAGACCGTGTTCAACAAAGTATCAGGTCAAACTGAGGGCCCCATATGAATCAAATCTCGTCAAGTTGGTGATGGCCGCTACCATATCAGCCGCGTCCTGTATCCAGCTGCTTCCGCCCGGCCTTCGCTGTCTCTTCTCTCTGATTTGCTTCTTCTTCCTAAATCAACTTCTCCGGCTCTCCATCGCCTCCTGCTTTCCTGCTCCTGCTCCCCCACGCAGGATGTCATCGTCTCCTTGAGGTTCAGAGTTCATCACCATCCAGGAAGAGCTCCGGCAGATCCGCCGCCGGAGGAGGAGATTCGGCCTCTCTTGAATGAGGGCAAGGAGTCAACGAGGGGCTAAGAGATCGACTCTCGACTTGCGTCGATGGTCCCCAGGTGGCTCCCCGGGCCCCGGAGGTTGACGGCCCGGCATTAGAGTCCCCATCATGTTTTACTCAGCCGCCCCCTTTCAACCCGTTTGTCACCAAGAATGCTAGACTTGTGTGTAACCACGATAGCTGGTGGAGCCACATCGACCCCGACTCCATCTGGACCAGATCTGGACCCCCTGCTCTGAGCCCTGTCCACCCCCTGCTCACCTCCCTGCGGGTCAAAAAAACAGCCTTTCCTCCGCTGTCCCGTCATGCCGAGGAACTGTCAAGACTGCAAGGCAAGGGAGCATAAGCGATGCGATGCTTGTTTGCTTGACCTGCATGTGTGATGGATATGCTGACTTTCCTCCTGCACGTCCTCACTTGCTCCTTCATTTTAGTCCCTCATCACACCACATCAGTGTTGGATTGATTACCCTCTTACTGGAGATGCTTTAGATCGAGGTCTGCCCCGGTACCGAAGACAGCAGCAGATGCGTAAGATGAGTAAGTCTTGAGGGACAGCTTTTGCTGACATCACTATGCCTATGCGGCTTACAGGCGGTATCTTGATTGAAGAATGCAGTCAGGGGACGATAGGGACTTACATTCTTCGTGAATTTTTCGGTCTGTTCACGTCGGTTGGGATATGTATGGGGCTGGATAGAATGTAAGTGAGGATGATGAAAGATGCGATCAGGGGACGGTTGGTTGGCTGACATGTTTTTCCTTGTTTCGAAACGAAAATCACTCCCATCGGTTGCTTGCTGGGATTGGAAACAATTGTCTGAATAGGCAGTGAGTAGTATTCGCAATCATCTTGTTTGAGGACGATCGGGCTGACGAATCATGTAGACCTTCCATCTTGATGAAGATGGCACCTGCAAGAATTGTATTTACAAGGAGGAAGAACACATTGGCGAAGCGAAGTTTTGCCCCGTAAAACCGATCATTCCTTGAGTGATCCATAGGACTAACGAATTTCGTGCATTTTTCGGTTTTTTCATCGGATCTGCTGTTGATTGGACTGGACAGCTGGTAAGCAACAATCATGGAAATGCGGTCAAAGAACGATTTGCTGACTGACAATGTTGGTGTATTTTTCGGTTTTGTCATCGGATGGGTCATTGATTGGACTGAATAGACGGTGAGTTACAAATCATGAAGGATGCGGTCATGGGATGTTTGGCTGACGTGTTTTCCGCAAATCTGTGGGTTTTTCATCGAAATTCTGTGAGTGCTTCATCGGACGGGTCATGAATGTGGCTGGATAGAATGTAAGTAACAATAATGAAACATCAGGGAACGACAAGACTGACGAATCATGTAGACCTTCCATCTTGATGAAGATGGCACCTGCAAGAATTGTATTTACAAGGAGGAAGAACACATTGGCGAAGCAAAGTTTTGCCCGGTGAAGCCGATCATTCCCTCAAGGGACGGTTGGCTGACATTTGATTTGCAATTGCTACTCTTTCCTGGCTTGTTTGGATGGAATCTGTCTTCGAAGGGAGTAAGTGTTTTTTCATATCATATGATGTGCTGAGTGGACGATTGGCTGACGTGTTTTATCGAAAACGAAATCACTCCCATCGGTTACTTGCCGGGATTTGAAACGATTATCTGGATAGGGAGTGAGTAGCATTTTCAATGATGCGATCAGAAGACGATTGGCTGACATTTCATTTTGCAAATCTTATCGGTTATTTCTCGGATGGACTGTCGATGATGCTGGATAGTGGGTAAGTGACGAAATATGTACCATGCTCTCAGGGAACGATATGGCTGACATCTACTTTTTGTGTGTTTTGTTTTCACCCGGTGAAACAAAATGGGGCTGGATAGATTGTGAGTATCTTGATTGAAAAATGCGGTCAGGGATCGATAGGGACTGACATGTTCCTTGCAATTTTGTGGATCGTCGGATTGGCTACGAATGGGGCTGGAAAGCTTGTAAGTAACAAACATGAAAGGTGTGGTCAGGGAACGATGGCTGAAATTTGGTTTTGCAACTCTTTCGGTTTGTCATCGGTCGGGTCGTGAATGGGGCTTGATAGCATGTGAGTAACGATGATGAAAGATGCGGTCAGGGGTTCATAGGGACTGACGAGTTTTGTCTTTCTTTCGGATTACCATCACATGGGTCGTGAATGTGGCTGGATAGTATGTAAGTAACAAACATGAAAGATACGGTCAGGGGACATAGGAACTGACATATGTCTTGCGTTATCCTATGACTGTGGTTCAAACATCTATTTTTTCCATCAGTGCTGTGTAAGACTTTCCTATTCACTCTCTTTGATGCTCTCCTGACTTTGTGTTTGCGTTGGTTTTCATTGCTGGTGAAAACAACAATGACAGAATGTAAGCTGAGCAGATTGCGAGCGATGGCTCTTTTGCTGAATATGGCGATTGACTTCGGTTTTTAGTGCTCCAAGTCCAGAGGATGGTCGGCATACGATGAGGTGCTTGAAGTGTGTCTTTGATGCGACTGACGGATGATGTTGCTAGTATGGATGCAGCCATTGCAAGGAACGGCTCAAACGAGAAGAGCAGGCCACACAAGCCAGACACCAGGAGGAGCAGGAGCAAAAGGAAAGAGATGAGCGGGAGAGGGAGCGCTCTGAAAACATGAACAAGTGCAGCACTCTTCGATCTGCGGTCAAGGTCGCCATGCGGCATGGGTCGTCGTTGGGCCTGCATGGTCGTGCGATGTTGTCGCTGCACGACCTGACGGAGAAGATATGCAGCCAAGAGCTCGCCTCAGGAGAGGACGCGCTCAGATTGCTGGTTGAGTTGACGGAAATATTCAGCAGCGAGGGTCACGAAGCGTACATGCGTATGCAGCAGGCTTGGAGTCAAGTGCGGTCATTGCAGGATGAGCTTGATTCCAAGCAAGCTGAGTTGATGCAGAGAGCCAGGCAAGAGAGTGAGAGCATAAACAGACGGAACGAGACGAGGATTGCACTGATTCAGGCATCCAACGAGCTCGTTGCTGCACTCGAAGGTGGTTGTCGGGCCCGCCTATTGGAGTACAAGCAAGTGTTGGAAAGGTTTGTCACAGACGTGGAGGCAGTTTTACGCTGCTGTGATCTTGATACGAGGGGGTCGAAAGCTGCAGCTCCGTTCTGTTTGTCTACAGATGATCTTCAGTATCAGCTGAACGAAACAAAATCAATGGTGTCAGCTTGGGTTGAGATGGTAAATGGGAAATTGGCATCGGCAAGGGAGGAGAGGGTGAAGATCGCAAGCCGATATGCTGATAGTCTTCGTCAGCTGTCTTGCTTGCTGGATGGAAGCGTTAGTGTGTTGAGCATTGGTGACAAGAACAAGCTGGAAGATGTGCTTCCGGAGACGCACATGGCTCTTGAAGCCGCGTTTGTGTCTGAGGAGGAGGTGTTGATAGACACGACTTTGATCGAATCGTTTCCCCTCAGCTCTTTACTTTCAATCCAAAAAGAGGCTTTGTCATGGGCACAAACTGTGTTGTTTGAACTGGGTGCGATATCAAACGTCAAAGGATTGGAAAGATACAGTAAGACATTTCAGAGTATGGAAGACCCGCGACGTTTGATGGACACCCGGGCAGAGCTCAAGCAAGCAATTGAGAATCTGGAAGACGAGCTGTATGATCTTAGATCTGACTTTGAGAAGAGCAAGAGAAAGAAGCTGGCGTGCCAGGAGATCGAGGACAAGACGGATGTGGTCAGAGTGAAGCTCATGGCAAGTACCAGGGAGCTTGAGAGGTTGGAGGAAAGACTCTGGAGTGTGGTCTGTCACTATCCAGAATACATGAAGGAGTTGAAGGAAGAGCTAGATCCTGGGGCTGGCGCGGGTGACAGTGATGTTTTGATCGGGCATGAAAAGCTCGACATTTTCACAGTCGTTGATCGTCTGTCGCAAGTTGGTCAGATGGGGGCCCGACATAATGTCATCCTCGTCAGTCAAGGGAGCCAGGAATATGTCATCAAGGAGTACAACCTTACCGTCTGTCAGAGCGGCAGAAAACATTTCCTACGTGAAGCAAGCATGTTGCGTCGCCTGGAGCACCCTTGCATTGTGAAGCTGATCAGCGCCTTTATTGAGGAGAAGATCGAGCTTCGCACGATGGTCATGAAGGGATACCTGAAGATGCCTTTCCTTGTCGGAGGAACGCTTTGTAGGTGGATGCAGGATGTGGACCCGAGCGAGCAGCAGAAGCACAGGGTGCTCATGCAGGTGCTGCAGGGGCTCGAGCACCTGCGTCAGAATCGGATCATCCACTGCGACATCAAGCCCGCAAACATCTTGATGACTTCCAAGGACGAGCATGCAGAGCCGCAGATTGCAGACTTCGACGTGTCCAAGGAGCAGGAGGACCGGGCGAGGGAGTTGGCAGCTACAGTGACCACTGCTCTTGCCGTGGGCACGCTGAACTACATGGCTCCGGAGCTCACCAACCCTTCCACAGGCAAGATGAAAGTCTCGCACAAATCAGACATGTACTCGTTTGGCTTGGTGATGCTTGAGGTCTTGACAGAAGCTCCGATAAGACCGACTCATCGTGACGACGTCATGGCTTTGCTTGCTGGGCTTCAAGGCGAGGCGAAGGATCTTGTTGCTAGACTTCTCGATCCTGTTCCGAGCAAGAGACTTTCATCAGCCGAAGCTCTCACACATCGATACTTCAGTCATGCCATGATACTCGAGCGCGAACATCTCGAGAAGGAGCGCACTGCCATGCGAGAAGAGCATGATCGACAGCTTGCGCTGCTCATGAGGAGACAAGAGGAACTAGCAGAGAGGGAGAGAGACATAAAGCAGCGCATGGAGCACGTGCAGTCTGAGGAGAGGCAGCTAGTGGAGCAGCAGCGAGCATTCACCTCTCAAGGAAGGAAACTGGAATACCACTTCAACCTGAGGAAGGAGCAACTCCCGAAGGAGAAGGCAGAGCTCAGCACACAAGAGCGGCTTCTGAAGGAACAAAAGCGTCAGGTGCAGTCGGAGCTGACGACCTTGAGCAAGCAAGAGGCCGTACTTGAGCAGAAAGCGAGAGATTTAGAGACAGAGAAGCTGCTTCTTGCGTACGGTTGTGCCGTGTTTACACCTCCCCGCTATTGGCAGGGTCTAGCAAGCTCTGCTGGCACAAACATCAAAGTCGACGTAACGAGCGAGTGGAAGGATAGAATACAAGAGCTGTTGACATCAACATGTAAACCGCAGTACATCGGCCAAGGAAGAGACAACTTGGGATTGAAGCATAAAGGCTACAAGGTTGAGCGCGTCTTCCGTATAGAGCACTCGGAGTTGTGGTCGGCATATGCCCTACAGCGAAAGGTTATAGGCTACCTTATGATGCTACAGGGCGAACGACATCCCAAGACAGAGGTACGCACTTATAGCGATTGGATGAAGAGATCGCTCCTACAGGACAAGACCAGCAACGAGGTGTTTCTGTTTCATGGCACCAAACACGACATGGCGGATGTTATCTTGAAGGCTGGGCTTGACGAGCGGGTCTGCAGTCTAGGAGGCTTGTTTGGAGCTGGGATCTACCTAGCTGAGAACTCGAGCAAGAGCGACGAGTACTGCACGCCAGACAGCCGCGGGATCTGTCGTATGTTTGTGGTGCGAGCTGTGCTGGGAACGCCTTACGAGGCCCTGCAAGCGATGAACAACGCGAGGCGACCACCAGTAATGCCGGGCAGCGACCGCCTGCATGACTCAGTGATTGGGGTGACACAGGATACGCATCCTTCAGCGTGCTTGGAAAAGTACAGGGAGTTCATCGTCTACGATCGCCGACAGACATACCCTGAGTTGCTGGTGGAGTTCCGTCGAGTGTAAGCTTATGCTTGTCGCGAATACCCGATTTCGTGGACAGTAGCAAATGTTGCCAATGAGCCATGGATGTCACTCAAACAGGACGTCAGAGAGAGAAAGAATCAAACAGACGAATGCTTGCAAATCTCTCCATCTGTTTCGTAGCGAGAAGAACGACAGGAAGCGCTTGAGCTTCTATAACTGCTTCATAAACACTTGTGGAAGAACGATCACGCCAAATCATCGCTCCTCCATGTCGCCTTTCCATCGTTCCTTACAAAGCCTCAGTCTAATGTCCTCCTCGGAGGTTACGCCCCACCTTGGTCCTACTCCTTGGTCCTACTCATTACCCGGTGTAATGAGTAGCAAGTTGCTACAAAGAACATGGAATCTTCGGATAAAACCCTTTCGCTCAAAGGCCTAGCTCGTCGTGATCATGCGCACACAATCATACATCCTCGCAAGAAAGTTTGTCAGGACTCAAACAAGTCAAATCTCGTCTTGCTTACCATTGATTTGATCTCGGAGATGTTTCATCATCCGCTGTCTTGAGTCGCGAAACAGTTGGTGGGCACATTTTGATTTCTATCTGTGAGATTGTGAGCTGAGGTCCTCGCAGAACAAGAAGGCTTGCAGAGATGTAGGGATCGAGAAATTGCCTCGCAAGAACAGCCACTGGTTCAAGCCTGTTGGAACCCGACAAGGTCACAACAGACCATGATAAGAATGTTGCGGAGGTTGCGGCTGACGGCAGGGACACAGGCTGGCGAATGTCAGACATTATCTACCCCTGCTCTTCCTTCCCAGGCGTCAAGGCAGCCTAGATTTGAGGCGCAAGAGCGAGCGAATGTGAACAAGGTCCTCAAGGAGATATGAGGTGCGCATGCTGTAGCCGATGAAGACATGGACTATCCATTGCATGTTCAGAACAACGCTATTTCAAACTTGTTTGACTGAATTCAAGTGAAGAAATATGCTTGTGATGTTCCTGAAACATGCTTGTGATGTTCCTGAAACATCAACATTGTGTCAACAAATATACAACTAGATATCCTTGCCTTACTTTGCTCGACTGAAAAGGGAAGGGAGGGGAGAAAATGTTAGGATCGCCTCCTCTCTCTCCCCCTAGAGAGTGTTGAGACGGGAAGTGATCTCGTCAAGAAAACAACGAGCCAGTGTGCGAAAACAATGTCATATCTGAATACGAGCGAGTCGCTCCACACGTTCTGTTGAGGAGACCTTTGTTCGGCTGTTGATACACCGTCTCCACTGATACTACCGCCAGCTCGTCTCCTCTACATAAGCCTGGACTCCACCATCCTCGTTCGATGAGGTGCTTCAGGCCGGACATCCCCATCACTGCCGGCTGTCAGTGATGTTGTCCTCTGGTCCTCAGGACAACTCTCAGGATAGTCGGAAGGGTCTACATGGACCCTAACGACCACCTTTGCATATCAGTGTCTCGCTGTGCTCCGCACCAGCAGAAACATCAGATGAGGTACTACAAAGGAGTGGCAGTCGAACAGACATGCCAATACTGTAATGATAGTAAATCACTGCCCTGCTGAGACCTTACACCGAGACACTGAGGCGGGTTTGCAGATGCTCAAGTTGCAGTTCGGACAAGTGGACAGGTTGAAGCAGCTGCTGTGATCCATGAAGAATCGTTGTAGACGGTAGTCACAGTGGTTGTAGTCAGAGAAGAACTTAAGCAGCGATCTTACAGACATCAGCAATGGCACCAAAGAGATTGCTAGCAGCTTCACCTTGCTGCTCCAAGGGGAGATGATACACGTCCCCCAAGCCTCAAGGCTTACCGGGTGGTAACAACCAGTCAGGAGGATCGAAACTAACAATCACTGAGTGATGACGTTAGGCTATCCCAGTGTCCAACCACTGCTCCCTACCGTAGCCTGCCACCACTGCAGTGTCAGGTCCTTGAAGCCTACCCACCGGATGTGCTGCGAGAGCCAGCCGGTCCTCTTCCTGCTGCTCATCGTCATCGTCACATCCTAAGGCTCGAGGACCTGCGGATGGACTTGATGCCGAAGGTCCTGTCACCACTCCTGCACGAGGACAACTTCACCTCCAGCGAGATCGGGGATGGTGGAAAACTGAACAACGCAGGCCAAACCATCCCAGGGAGCAGGAGGGAGTAGGGATGGGGGGGGAGTGACCCGGGCAAGAGGAAGGAGGAGCATGGCGATGGCAGGAGGACGGGTTGGGGGGATGGGATGAAGTCGAAGAGCAGGGTGGCTGACCCAAGGAGCAGGAGCAAGCCGCGATCGCTGATATCGCCTGATGACAAGAGCAGAACAGCATTTTCGCTTTCCAGCCAGGAGAGTCTTCGAAAGTTTGACCACCTCAATCAATTGACCCCTTCCGTTAATTCAGCCAGCAGGTGCCCACCCTACCCCCTACTACATCTCCCACCTCTGTCAATCCAGACCCTACCTACCTTCCAATAAGCTGCTCCAACATGATTGTATGTACCACCTCAAACACCCTTCGCTCTCTCACCCTCGTTTGATTCTTTTGTGTATGTGTCGGTATTTGCTCGGATGTACTGTGGATGGTGCGGTATAGCGGGCAAGTGACGATGCTGAAATGCGGTCAGGGGACGATATGGCTGACATGTAATCTTGGGATTGTTTTGTTTTCGCTCGGATGGACTGGTGTGATGGAACTGGATAGTATGTAAGTAATATCTCGATTGAAACATGCGGTTGGTAGGGAGTGACATTCATTTTGCTTTTTCTGGTATGTCTTGATCAACGGATGGCAACATCTGGTATGGATCTACTAGTGCTGCGTAAGAGATTGACACCATCACATATCTTCCTGCTGATCTGACCTTGTTTTGATTACATTATGCACTGGGAAACTCACAGAATGTAAGTCATCGATCATGTTTCAAAGCGCATGGTCTGTAGAGATGATATTTGTATTGATTGGATTGGTTGACTCAGTGCTGCAAAGCTCAAGGATGGGGTAACTATGACGAGGTGTATGATTGGTTTGAGTGATGCGAGTGAATCTGTTGTGACGTGTGCTGTTGGTAGTGCGGTTGCAGACATTGCAAGAAACGGCTGCAAGAGATGCAACGCAAGGAGACAGAGGAGAAGGAGCGCAAGGAGAAGGAAGAGAAGGAGCGCAAGGAGAAGGAAGAGAAGGAGCGCAAGGAGAAGGAAGAGAAGGAGCGCAAGGAGAAGGAAGAGAAGGAGCGCAAGGAGAAGCAAGAGAAGGAGCGCAAGGAGAAGGAAGAGAAGGAGCGCAAGGAGAAGGGGGAGAAGGAGCACAAGGAGAAGCAAGAGAAGGAGCGCAAGGAGAAGCAAGAGAAGGAGCGCAAGGAGAGGGGGGAAGGAGCGCAAGGAGAAGGGGGAGAGGGAACGCAAGGAGAGGGGGGAATTGAATTCAGAGACGCCTGTGAAGATCGCTTTTGGATCGGATATCAAGAGGACTGTGGTCTCTTCTTATCAAGACCTTCTGGCTGAAATCAAGGTTCGTGTCCAGCATTATCCGAAGCATCAAGTCATGACTGCTGTCGTGTTAAGTAGACTTTGGCGGGACCGAAGGATCTTCAGACGATGAAGATTACTTACAGGTAGAACGCTTGGCATTGGCAATGAGCACGAGAAGTGATGATCTTCGTATGTAAGTGATGCAGATGGTGACACCGTTGTTGTCACCAAGGGAGCTCATTTTCAAGTGGCCATTGCTCACCTGCAGCAATTCAAGATGCCGATGAGATTCGATGTCATCTAGAGCTCAAGATGTTATGCATTCTAGCAGTCACCTTGCAGGATCACGGAGTCACCTCGTTTTGTTGGTTTATCTTGAAAACGACCTTGAAAATCGTCAAGGTCGTCTTGTGTTAATCTTCAGTAAATCAACACGTCGGCGATGGAAGCAAAATATGACAAACCAAATAATGCATAACATGGGGGATGTTTGATCGAAGCAATTCACAAAGTTATTCAGGAAACAATGCACTGACTTCCATGATCATGGCCGAAATATCGACAATCCTTCATGGCTGAATATCGACAATTGTTCAACGTATTCAAGTACTTTTATTTCAAGTTCAAAGAAAACATCATCCTGACTATTCTCAACGACTTGCTGCAGATGCGCTTGAGTTCTTCTTGAATTTTTTCCTCAACTTCTTCACGAATGTCTTTTTAACTCTTCAAATTTCCTTATGTCTGTATCCATTTCGTCTGCATCCTTGCCTGCTCAAAACATTTCACGAAAAACTTCACGATTTGTATTGCTTTGTCCAGGCTTCAACTAACATTTCTCAAAGGGGGAATTTGTTTTTTCTCGTTTCCACAGAACCACAAATTCCATGCCGATAATGGAGTTTCCAGCTCTTCTGTCAAAAGTACTTGTTCCAGAGCCGACGCGCTTGCCCCAACTGCTTCATCAATAGAACCACCCGGGTCTCTGCTCTCATTCGCTCCAACAGTGTCTGCCGGTATTACGGTGCTCCCCTCACTCCTGCGACCAGACTCAACAACACTCTGACCTGAAGCCTCGGGGTCCCTTTGCTGAACATCTCTCTGTGATCCACTTGCTTCCCCTCCCGTCTCCATAATCACCTCCCGTATCATAGCTTCCAACTCATCTCGATTCTCTAGCAAGCCTTGCCGAAAGAAGTCCTTTGCTGATTGTCCAGACTCATTTGGTATGAAACCAACTTTTCGCCTCTCCGAAATTCCTTCTGCCAATGCCTGGTTGCCCCTAGATTGATTGAACTCCAGAACTTCTCTTTGTAGTTTTTCTAGGGACGCAACAACCTTGTCATTGTTGACATAGCAAATTCTTTCAGAGGAAGTCTGCATGGTACATTACGTGACGGATGCGAGTGCAAACTCCGCAACTCCATTCATGCACATTGGTAACATCCCAATCGCACTTGTGACCATTCCTGACCCAGACTCGTAAGCTTCTTAGTGCGTCCAACAAATGCATCACCTGCTGCTTCATATCGTAGATTCGTGTTGAAAACTGCACTGCTCGATACAAAAAAATAAGTTGCTGCCCCCTTCCTGATAGAGTGACTTCCAGGATCCTCTGGCAGTGACTGCAGTGACTGCAGTCTGAACTGCATCCATCCCATTATGATCATCATCAGTGCCTTCCCGCGGTCTTGTCAGTGTCACCGACTCACTCGGGGCTGCTGATTGATTCGGTGGCATCTTTATTTTTGAAAGAACCTGCATATTGCGATCAGGAACAGTTCATCTGGTAAACAGCAAAGCAAGTGCATTCCTAATGCCGATATGGGACAGATCTCTGGATGGACTGGATTTGCATATAGACTCTCCTGGGGTCAGTTGGCCCGCCTCAGAACAATCTGATGCGTCCTGAGGCGGGCCCGTATGAGCATAGAGCCATAACCGAAAGACCATAGAAAGAAAGCATCCGCCTCGGCGAAACAAATAGAGACAGCAAAGGGCAGTCTCGCGCTTCTAACCTACTTACACTAAAAGGAAAGGCCAAGGGAAGGAACGCCGAAGAATGAAAGGGTATGTCTGCTCCTGGGGCTCGATGCAAATATATTTGGGGGCTATATTGATATTTTGGGTCTATATTTGATTCAATTAGTTCTCATATTCAAATTAACACTTGGTTTTTAATCTGATGCCTAAAATCTCAAGACAGCACACTTTCATTTTGGGACTAGTGACTACCTAGCTGCAATAGCTGGCAGCGCAATGGGGATTCGGGGGCTGCACTCGCTGTGTTCGTCTCAGGCCAACGAGCTTGCGGATGCAGTGAAGTGTGAAGGAAGAGTTCTAGAAGCCTAGAATGACTGACATCTGACACAGCATCACCATCATGTCGAGAGAGCGGGTTACCAAGGTGAAATGATGTTCATGTTGATATCTCTAGAGCAAATAATGAAACTGGCAGGGGGAGAGGAGGCCTATCATTATCATCGATGGGATGTTTCTCATATTCCACATCTTTCAAAGTGATTCTTTAAGTATTTCTGATGCAATAGGTGATTTGTGACCTGACAGAGCTTGATGTTACATGGCATTGGCTCCTGGGAGGCGAATACAAGATGTTTGCTGCTGGTCCTGTAGATGAATTCATGATTGTTTCTCACCGCTTTTGTCTGCAGAATTGGAAAAGTTCATCAAGGACATGCAGACATGCGAAGTGGATATCGTAGTGGTTTTGGATCCGGCTCGGGGAAGTGAGGGGCTACAAAAGAAGAAATCTGAGCACGAGAAACGGTTGTCTTATCTCCTGCTCTCGATACTCTGCTTACCCCATTAACACTTCCCTCTCGTTCGCAGGTTTGCAGACAGGAGTGAGAACATGGACAAGATCATCTCATGCATACAGAAAAATGAAGACCCCGAATCTCTAGATGAGGTCGAATGGTCCCTCGAAGAATGACTCAGCGTTTGATCATATTCGATAGGAGGTGTTGCAACAAGGCTGGCAATTGCCATGCCTTGCAAGAATTCAGACTGTCATCACTCTGAAGAAACTGAACGTGCATGTTCGGACAAGCCTGATTGAAGCAGACATCGACATTTGCAAGATGTGTCGATCGTCAGCGACGACTACTTTCGTGGTTGCCAACGATTCTGATTTTTATCTGATGCCTGGCATTCAATACGCGCCATTCAGCTTCCTTGAAATAAAGGACAACATGGTGGTCCTTCACGCTGGTCTCTTCGTCATCTCACAAGCTTTGAATTCCAGTTGTTTGCTCGGGTTTTCACGTCTAAAAAGTTCGCCTCATTTTTCAAACTAAAGCATGATCGGTTGTTGATTTTGCACAGTGAGCATAATTTCTCATACTTTTCCCATTGATTGCTAGGCTTTGGGAATTTGCTGCTCTTTGTGGAAATGACATAACGAGAGAAATACTTCAGAAGTAAGATTTGGTTTGAGGGAACATTCTGAAACTGACGGTGACCACTATGATAGGTATGATATACAAAGAATACTTGGCATTCCCTTCGGCAACAAAAGGGTATGAGATCCTCCTGGCATTCTTTGAAGAAGTGATGGAAGAGAAGAGGGGATGACCATGACGTTGGTGGTGATGTTAATTGTTGTCATGGACAGGATGTCAGTGATGATGATGATGATGGAGACCGAAATTGCATCAATAACGATGATTTTACAGGGAAAAAGTTTCGATGAAATGGTGGCTAAATGGTTAAATCAGCTCGGCGAAACAACTCTATTTGGTCATCCAGGCTTCATACAAGTGAGAGATACTATATCGCTCTACTTCACTTCCTCTTCACACTTCAGCTCATCCCATTTTCCTGATTCACTTGTTATCAGTTGAAGCAGAAAGATCCAGAAATTGAAATCTGTTTTCAAGAATGTAGAGGTTTCTACGAAATTGTTGAGGAGACTCAACCAGAAGACGAAGTAGATGAATATCACAAATTCATCAAAGAAAATGTGCAATCATGTCACATCCCATCATGGAGTTTGGCAGTTTACTTACACAGGCGTGATTGAAGTATGATGTTATTGCGGTTTGTTGTGACGTTTGTTTTTTGTTTTCAGAATCTTTTACTGCAAACTGCTCCCAAGAAATCCTTTAAATCATCCTTCCGAAGATCAAGATGCTACAAGCATCAATAACGTCACTCTCCCTCTGCGAAAGGTCAGATAATGATGATAATTATAAGCTGCCGTAGCAACTGCAATAGCAGCAGCAGGAGCTGATACATCAGCAAGAGCAGATACAGCAGTAGAAGCAGCAGCTGCTGCCGCAGCAGTGACAAGGGCATCATCAACAATATCAGTAGGAGAAAAAGGATGCGAAGTAGGAGAGAGGATGGGTTGATAGGAGGATGGCAACTCAGGTGAAAAAGAACCAGAGGATGGGAGACAGATAAGCTGCAATTCACGGAGAAGAGGCAAGATACTAAAATAAAAAGGAAATGGAGCAGAGGCAAAGGCAGAGGCAAGGCAGCAAGAGCAAGAACAGGAGCATGAGAATGAAGGTCAATCATATTGTTCTTGACTCTTACGGGTACGGTTGTGGTGTTCAGGCGATGTTTTCTCTTATCGGCTCACCTTCCTCGCACAAAGATTTCAACTATGTCACTGAGTTTTTTCGAAACGGTTCTTTGCTGGACGAAAGGCGGATTCAAACATGGGACAAGACAATGCTGCCGGTACAGATCGGCTCAATTTGATACCTCGGTCTGATGCTATCTCGTCTTCCAACTCAGATGTTGCTGGGCACCACCGATCTCCTCGATCTGCGTGCAAAGCATGAAGAAGAAAGATTAGACGCGATGCATCTCCTGATTCACAGCCTTGCCAATGAGTCTCTGCTGACTGTGGGAGATGTTCACTTGTGCCAATCACAGCATTGACACTTCCACCCTCAGATGCCTAAAATAGATATGGATTCCTTCTCCTCTCACGACCCTCTCCTCTCCCTCCAAAGCGCCGTCGATGTCCAGGTTATTCCATGACGATCTTGTCTATGTATTCTCTGATGTGAGATGATGGGAAGGTTGAAGGAAAAGTCTATGCCATCGCACTCAAACCCATTGGGCTGATCTTTCGCGCTTTGCTCATTCTCCTAGCAACTCACAGGTCCAGCTTGTTGATTTGATATGCCTGAAGCAAACATGAGTTTTTCCTTCAAGATTGAACGGGGGGCAATTTCATTGTACATTCTGGCATTACCACACACTGAAGGCTTGCGTATTGTTGTGTTGTTTTGAACTTGATTTCGACAAGCTTCCAATCGCTGTTCCCAGGTTGACATTTGACACAATCAATGTTTAAATCATCTTGCTTCTTGCACCTCAAAACCTTTTTTCTGCTCTTCTCTCACTCTTGCCTTTCTTTTAGCTTTGCTACAGTCCAAGTTGTGCACCTCTTCCAGAATGTTGTCCATGAAGTACTTTACCTGGCTGAGCTTCTTGATATCGCACACCTATTTCCGGAACCAAGCAAAATATTCAGTGCAAGGTTGAATCATGATGTGTTCTGCAGGTGGTGGTTGTGGTTGTGGTTGTGGTGGTGGTGGATGAGATGATGAACATTGAAGATTGAAACTGTGTTGACCATCATACTTCAGACTGTTTCTACATCTTGTTTCTCAAGACCAGTCGAGCAGCGGATATCTTGACAGCCTGCTGAAGCAAATACAGCATGATGAGATTGATGTGTTTTTCGATGCCGTGTCAAACATCTTCAAAGAAGACTTCCAATTCTCCAACGATATCCACATGATTGAAACAGGTAACTTCATGATTTTATGTTCAGATAGATAGATACTGCATGTCAATATCTTTGTTTTCTTCTTCGTTATTTTGAACTTGTTGGATCAATCTTGTCTCAATTCTGACGATTCTGCCTCTAATGGACGAAATGATTTGAATTTCAAAACAGCAACTACCAACGACATCTTTGACGAAGACAGTCAGGAAGAAATGTACGACAGCAACACAACTCATCTCAATATGGAGCAGCAGCCTGCAGACACATCTCTTCCTATCTTGCAGTTCAAAGAAAAGATTCTTCAGGAGATCAACAGCAACACAGTCACATGCATCCAAGGAGAAACAGGATGTGGCAAGAGCTCGATGGTCCCTCAATTCATCCTCGATGATGCCAGGGCAAGACGACAGAGGGTCAACGTTATTGTATCACAACCACGAAGGCTTGCGGCTGTGGCGCTTGCGAGAAGGGTTGCGAGTCAAAACAACGAGAAGATTGGAAAAACTATTGGCTATCGTATTGGTCAAGGAGATCACGTTGTGTCCATGGAGACTCAGGTCACTTTCGTGACGATAGGATACTTGCTTCACAAGCTCTACCATAACCCTAAAACCTTCTTCAAGAGTTCCCATGTCGTCTTAGATGAGGTGCATGAACGAGGAATGGACTCTGATCTCCTGAACCTGCTGATCAAGAAGCTGATGGAGAACAGTAAGTCAAGCACAAAGCTGATCATCATGTCTGCAACCCTACAAGCCAACCTCTTCAGCCAGTTTTTCACCCCTGTTGGCGAGAAGGTCAGGGATACAATCTTCGTTGGAGCGAAGAGATACCACGTTGATGTTTATTTCCTGGACGAGTGGAAGAATTTTCACAGATCCTTTATGAATGACAAGAATCTCAATAATCTCTTGGGACAGTTCAAGATTCAAAACAAAGAAAATCAGGGAAACAAGCTGAAACCTGAGGTGAGAAAGATTGTGATGAAAGCTGCACCCTTTTCTTCCTTATCTCCTTATATTTGTTTTTGATGCAGTTGAACAAAGACTCCTGCACCCTCATAATCAATCTGCTTGCAAAGATTGTCAAGCCCGACATCTGCATTCTGGTCTTCCTTCCCGGCATCGGCGATATTGAATCCTTGCAGGAAGATATCAGAAGTAGCTCCTTGAGCTCCCCTCTCCAGATCCTCGTCCTACACTCGTTGGTCTCCCGCGAACAACAGGAAGCAGCGATTCTTCCAGCAACGGCTGGACACTGCAAGCTGATCCTCTCAACCAACATCGCTGAGAGCTCCATCACCATCCCCGATGTCCTCTACGTCATTGACTCATGCCTGAGCAAGTAGTCATATTGTCCCATATTATCTGATCATCATATTGATTCCTCTTTCCTCTTTCTCCTCCTCCTCCTCCTCCTCCTCCTCCTCATCATCATCATCATCATCGTCATCATCTTCCTCGTCATCGTCATCGTCATCGTCATCATCAAACGATCCATCATCAACGTCCCTGTTCTGCTGTTGCTGCTTTTCATGCTTCATGCTTTGCTGTAGTCTTGCGTATCCTGTTGTTCTGCTTTCCCTATCCTCAGTCTCAGTCATGGTCATACCCTTCTCCCTTTCATCAAATTTTTGTGTTCTTGCTCGTTCTACTCTTTACTCCTCCTCTCAGGGAAATCCACTTCGACGAGAAAAGGAACATGCCGGCACTGCTCGGGGCATGGTGCTCGCAGTCTTCTGCTAAGCAGCGACAGGGGAGAGCAGGAAGAGTTGCGCCCGGCTTCGTCTTCCATCTCGTTCCCCGGCACTTTCACGACAATGTCATGCTCCCGTTTGCAGAAGCAGAGATTTCTCGCCTTCCGCTCGAGAAAACCATCCTCAAGGTCAAGATCCTCCTCAAGAAGTTTGGCAGGCCTTCAGCTCTGCTTCAGCAGTCCCTTACTCCTCCTCCTCCAGCTCGCTTTGAGCTCGCAATCAAAGAGCTCTTCAAGGTTGGCGCTTTAATCCGCGAAGAAGAGACTTCACCTGTTACCCAGCTGGGAGTACTTGCCTCTGAACTCCCTGTTGATCTTGTGCTTGTTAAGCTGCTCGTGCTGGGCATAACCTGCTCCTGCCTCCCCGAAGCCATCGTGATGGCCTCTGCGCTCTCAGTCCAGGACATTTTTGCCATGCCCTCCTCTCTCTTTGTGAAGGACAAAGCATGCTTCCTCAAGGAGCTTGCTCGCAATTTTAGGAGTCGAGCTGAGCTGGACATGGGGAAGCTGTCCGAGCCGATCATGTACCTGGAGGCCTACAAGAGGTGGATAATCTCAAAGCGAGGCTCAAATGATGCCTCCAAGCTGGGGCTGAGCTTGACGAGGCTGAGGCAGATGGAAACTCTTGCGCTGGATCTTTGTCGGAGGTTCGAGGATCACTTTGCGCAACTGGAGGGGCTGAGGGACGACTCGCTCGACAAGCTCCACCTGCTGCGCGGCGCAATCATGTCGAGGAAGCGTTGTCAGCCGTCCACCCTGAGCTCCCTCTTTCAGGCAACGGATGATACTCTAAGGTTTGTCCTGGTGGGCAGCTGCTCGCAGTTGTTCATCAAGGGGTTGAAAATGGACAAGAAAAACTCTGAGATTGCCAGGTCAGGTTTTGACAACGAATGTTCTGTAATGCTCTACAAAGTTCCACCTGAGCTGAACAACAGCGATTGCATCGAATCCCTGCTGAAGGTGCTTGACATCAAGGTTGTCAACCATTGGAGTGTTGGGGTGAGCAATGCTGTCATACAGCTGAGCAACGACCAAGATCTCCTTTCTGCGCCATCCTCCTCTCAAAGCATCCCAGCTCAACTTGTACAGGACATGAGCTACGAAGTCAAGCTACTGTGGCAGGTTTACTTTGGCTCTCGCCGCAAGCTCGTGCTTCCCAACCCTCAGCAAGTGACGGCAACAAGGGAGTCGCAGACAGCCACCCTTGGAGGATTGAGCTCGGACTCGACGATCAGGTGGTTCCTGGAGAAGGAGAAAAAGGTGCTGGTGGAAGACGTCGATGTCGAGAAGGACAATAATGTCTTGAACAAGGCGGAGGAGAAGTTCCTTGTCCGGCCCAACTGGCGCTCTCCCCTGTCTGTGGTCGCCGATTTCAACAGAGAGCATGTAGAGCATAAAGCTGTGGCTATGTCCCTCTTGGGAACGATGAATGAGCAGAATGTGACAGCGACAGGGATGACCTTGCTTCCTAACAACCCCTTCGGAAAGTTGCTCCAGCTGGTGTTCAGCCCGAGGGCAGACAGGATGTCAATGATAGCCAGCAGCGACGGATCTCAGATGTTCTATTTCAAGATTGGGACAGGAACAATCGACCTCCTTCCGTACTTTATCACCACGGAAGATTTCGATGCGATCAACTGCATCCGACGATGCATCAGCAGAGCCATCCTGCGCCATCCGGAGAAAACAAGACAAGATATGAAAAAGCTGCTTGTATCCTTTCTCACTCACCAGCCTTCAAAATTCGAAGGAAAGAAGAAACCAAAATCTGCTGAATTCCATCTCACTATAGAAGAGACGCAGGAGTACCTTCCACAGCTCAAGAGGGGAAACAAAATCGACAAGCTAATTTCTACTGACGGGGATATCATCAAAGACAGCGGCCATGTGGGCCCTGGGAACGAGAAGGGGCAGGCCCAGCACCCCAACGAGGACGTCGACGCGCACGAGGACGCAGGAGCCGCACCATCACAAACTACAGATAAGAAGGAGGACACGGCTGACGTCGACGATGAGAGTATCGTCAAAGACAGCGGCCATGTGGGCCCTGGGAGCGAGAAGGGACAGGCCCAGCATCCGAACGAGGACGTCGACGCGAACAAGGACGCAGGAGCCGCACCATCGTGGACGAAGAAGCTCGCTGCATCGCTTGTTGAGGGGAAGGATGCGATCGTTAGGTTTTGCTGCAAGGAGGAAGGCACGAAGAAGTTAATGGTGGGCTGTAAACGTGAGCTTCTAAGACTCATCAGACAGGCTGGAGGGATGAGCACAGGGATCAGGGACAACAGCACTGGGGGAGAGGAAGAGAAGGCCCAGCACCCCGACGAGGACGTCGACGCGCACGAGGACGCAGGAGCCGCACCATCACAAACTACAGATAAGAAGGAGGACACGGCTGACGTCGACGATAACAGTATCGTCAAAGACAGCGGCCATGTGGGCCCTGGGAGCGAGGAAGGGCAGGCCCAGCACCCCGACGAGGACGTCGACGCGCACGAGGACGCAGGAGCCGCACCATCGCGGACGGCGGAGGAGACGGGGGAGTACCTTTCTCACGCCAAGGCCACGGCTGACGTCGACAGGACGGTATCTGCCGTCGACCTCGTGGTCAAGCTCCTGTGCGACGACAGCTTTGACCTACACGCCGACTCGCAGGAGCTGTCGATCCGCCGCGTCTCCTCTGTGTCCGCCGCCTCCTTCACCGTCCACGAGCTCTCCATAGGGCCTTGCTCGGGCTCGAGCATGAGCCTGTCAGACGCTGTGGAGCAGACGGTGAGGTGGTACACGCGAGCAGCAGGAAGGCGATCTACAAGAGTGCTGGAGTTTACGTCCCTGCAGACTAAGGAAGAAAAGAAGCTCGTTGCATCGCTTGTTGAGGGGAAGGCTGCGATTGATAGCTTTCGCTGCAAGGAGGAAGGCACATACAAGTTAATGGTGGGCCATAAACGTGAGCTTCTAAAACTCATCAGAAAGGCTGGAGGGATGAGCACATGGATCAGGGACAACAGCACTGGGGGCGAGAAAGGGGCAGGCCCAGCACCCCGACGAGGACGTCGACGCGCACGAGGACGCAGGAGCCGCGCCATCGCGGACGGCGGAGGAGACGGGGGAGTACCTTTCTCACGCCAAGGCCACGGCTGACGTCGACAGGACGGTATCTGCCGTCGACCTCGTGGTCAAGCTCCTGTGCGACGACAGCTTTGACCTACACGCCGACTCGCAGGAGCTGTCGATCCGCCGCGTCTCCTCTGTGTCCGCCGCCTCCTTCACCGTCCACGTGCTCTCCATAGGGCCTTGCTCGGGCTCGAGCATGAGCCTGTCAGACGCTGTGGAGCAGACGGTGAGGTGGTACACGCGAGCAGCAGGAGAGGGATCCAAGAGCGTGCTGGAGTTTACGTCCCTGCAGGCGACGAAGCAGAGGAACCTCGTCTATACGCACTGCATGGGGCGCGTTTGGATGCAGTACTACCGCTGCAAAGAGGAAGGCACGAAGACTATGATGATCGGCCCGACCCCCTCCTTTGTGACGCTGGTCAGGATAGCTGGAGGGATCAGCAGGTACGTCGCTGATGGTGGGCATGGGGGCCCTGGGAGCGAGGAAGGGCAGGCCCAGCACCCCGACGAGGACGTCGACGCGCACGAGGACGCAGGAGCCGCACCATCGCGGACGGCGGAGGAGACGGGGGAGTACCTTTCTCACGCCAAGGCCACGGCTGACGTCGACAGGACGGTATCTGCCGTCGACCTCGTGGTCAAGCTCCTGTGCGACGACAGCTTTGACCTACACGCCGACTCGCAGGAGCTATCGATCCGCCGCGTCTCCTCTGTGTCCGCCGCCTCCTTCACCGTCCACGTGCTCTCCATAGGGCCTTGCTCGGGCTCGAGCATGAGCCTGTCAGACGCTGTGGAGCAGACGGTGAGGTGGTACACGCGAGCAGCAGGAGAGGGATCCAAGAGCGTGCTGGAGTTTACGTCCCTGCAGGCGACGAAGCAGAGGAACCTCGTCTATACGCACTGCATGGGGCGCGTTTGGATGCAGTACTACCGCTGCAAAGAGGAAGGCACGAAGACTATGATGATCGGCCCGACCCCCTCCTTTGTGACGCTGGTCAGGATAGCTGGAGGGATCAGCAGGTACGTCGCGGACGGTGGGCATGGGGGCCCTGGGAGCGAGAAGGGGCAGGCCCAGCACCCCGACGAGGACGTCGACGCGCACGAGGACGCAGGAGCCGCGCCATCGCGGACGGCGGAGGAGACGGGGGAGTACCTTTCTCACGCCAAGGCCACGGCTGACGTCGACAGGACGGTATCTGCCGTCGACCTCGTGGTCAAGCTCCTGTGCGACGACAGCTTTGACCTACACGCCGACTCGCAGGAGCTGTCGATCCGCCGCGTCTCCTCTGTGTCCGCCGCCTCCTTCACCGTCCACGAGCTCTCCATAGGGCCTTGCTCGGGCTCGAGCATGAGCCTGTCAGACGCTGTGGAGCAGACGGTGAGGTGGTACACGCGAGCAGCAGGAGAGGGATCCAAGAGCGTGCTGGAGTTTACGTCCCTGCAGGCGACGAAGCAGAGGAACCTCGTCTATACGCACTGCATGGGGCGCGTTTGGATGCAGTACTACCGCTGCAAAGAGGAAGGCACGAAGACTATGATGATCGGCCGGATCCTCTCCTTTGTGAAGCTGGTCAGGATAGCTGGAGGGATCAGCAGGTACGTCGCGGACGGTGGGCATGGGGGCCCCTGGGAGCGAGGAAGGGCAGGCCCAGCACCCCGACGAGGACGTCGACGCGCACGAGGACGCAGGAGCCGCACCATCGCGGACGGCGGAGGAGACGGGGGAGTACCTTTCTCACGCCAAGGCCACGGCTGACGTCGACAGGACGGTATCTGCCGTCGACCTCGTGGTCAAGCTCCTGTGCGACGACAGCTTGACCTACACGCCGACTCGCAGGAGCTGTCGATCCGCCGCGTCTCCTCTGTGTCCGCCGCTGCTTCACCGTCCACGAGCTCTCCATAGGGCCTTGCTCGGGCTCGAGCATGAGCCTGTCAGACGCTGTGGAGCAGACGGTGAGGTGGTACACGCGAGCAGCAGGAGAGGGATCCAAGAGCGTGCTGGAGTTTACGTCCCTGCAGGCGACGAAGCAGAGGAACCTCGTCTATACGCACTGCATGGGGCGCGTTTGGATGCAGTACTACCGCTGCAAAGAGGAAGGCACGAAGACTATGATGATCGGCCGGATCCTCTCCTTTGTGACGCTGGTCAGGATAGCTGGAGGGATCAGCAGGTACGTCGCGGACGGTGGGCATGGGGGCCCTGGGAGCGAGAAGGGGCAGGCCCAGCACCCCGACGAGGACGTCGACGCGCACGAGGACGCAGGAGCCGCGCCATCGCGGACGGCGGAGGAGACGGGGGAGTACCTTTCTCAGGCCAAGGCCACGGTGTCACATCCCGAGGCTTTACAGGATTGATCTTCAACGGAGCTCAACAAGAACTTGCTTTGGAATTTCTCTGCTAAGCGAAAAGCAGTGTGACAGGAGGAGATCTATCTCTCTTTATTCTCACACAACAAACAAAACAAACCAACACACACTGATGTGGCACAAACGCGCGAGGAAGGAGACAGGAGTACCCGTCTCTTGGCTGAGGAAAGTAGGGGTGATCTCTCCTTGGAAGTTGACAAGCTTTCCTCCTTAGATGTTGAAAATCCCGTCAGCCCCTCGAGCGGCAACCTTGCTCTCTCGCAGGGAAGAGAACCCCGTCCTCGCATGCCAGCAGGCTGCTTCCAACGGGTTGTACTCCACAAGACTCATCCGTCATCTTCAGCTGGTAGGCCACCACGGGTAGACGGTTCCTGCAACGACGACCTCCAGAGGGGTCCTTTACAGCAGATTCACACTCTGCTTGTTGCCAAGAATCACGGTCAGGAGAGAGCAGCGCTTGACGCCAAGTACAAGGATCGTGTCGATCAGGCGCCATAGTAACTGCAGTAGCTACTGCTGATAGATGCCTGACTCCTGCAGGCGTTCCACTTCGGCGTGCCCGTCGGCGACTCCGCCCTGCGCAGCCGCACGGTCAGGGACTTCCTGGAGCGGAACGTCCCGCGCTGGTCGTCGATGCGCTGCTCGACCGACGCGGAGGTGCGGCGGGGGCACGGCAGCGAGTGCTTCTTCCTTCAACGCTGAGCTTCCGTCACTCCACTGACGAGACCTAATTACCGAACTCGGAAACTTAGCACTGTAACGGCCGCCCAGCCCGACTGCCACCTGGGCAGCGCCGAACCTGTCAGTCCCATCCGGTCACTCTGTGCTACTTTTGCTTCATGAAACCACTGACTGATCGGAACCTCTTGAACTGCTCCCTCAGCAACTTTGCTATTCCTTGTCGCATGAGGGGTATGTCCTTCTGTCCAAAGTTGTCGATGCCCTCTCCAGCAGCAACTTTCTTCCTGCATTGGCACCTGCTGATATACCATGAGCGATGCACCTGCTCATATACAACATCAGCGTACCTGTCCTTGTCTCATAACTTGCTTGTCGTATGTCCTCCCTAACGTATCCTCTGCCTGCCATTTGCCGCGTAGGTACTTCCAGAAGCATGTATGCCCCACACAGGGCAACCCGGTCGTAAGCCATGTACTTTTCCGTTGGTTGTCAGGTTCCACATACCTTCTATTCTGGTTCAAAACGCCGATACCGGTCATTCCGTTGGGGTCATACAATCTGCATCCCCAAATGGTCGTCACTCGTGGTTGGTGTACAAGTAATTCGTCTCTCTCCCATGTAGGCAATTAACAAACACCAGTGTCCGGGTTTAAACGCGGGAATAAAACATGTACCCCTCTCTGCGCATGCGTTTCCAATAACGCAAAAGCTCTTCATATCCTCCTGTCGCAGTCACGGTGTCCAATGCCGCGCCACTGGTATGTAGCAACTCCAGATTGGGATAGAAATAAGTAGAGACAAAGTCAATGTTCCGAGGCTTCATGTGCCTGGTACAACCAGTGTCCCGGATGCAGTCAGATCTCCACTTAACCAGATGCAGCCAACTCTCCACCACGTCGCAGCTGATACATTTAGAAATATCACTTACATCCTGAATGATCGCTTCGGACAGGTTAGGGATAGCATGGATGATAATCTTTCCCCCTGTGAAAGTCATAGCGTTTCCCAGAAACACATCACGCATATACTTGCATTGATATACCATCATTATTTCCTCCCTTGTCAAACAATTCGATATCCATATTCTTCTTGCTGCGCTTCTTCGCAATCGTCATGACTTCGCGTTGCAGTCTTCTTTGCTTTCCTTTCCTTGGGCACCTCGACACGTTTTCTTGCGATTCCCACAGATAGTGTAAAGCTCACTGTCATCGAGATCTTCCGGACCCGGATCATCCTCCCCGGGTGTGGCAGGAGGAGGAGACAAAGGGTCTGTAGGGTTTGAACCAAACTCGCGTGAGAAAGGAACATGCCCCGGTATCATGTGCGTGCATCATCAGGCTTCATCCCTGTACGCAGCGCTGTGACCTCCGGCTGCGGAGGGGAGATGTCGGGACCTTCTTGGCACAATCGCCTCATCTGAAGAATGAGTTAGTGGTGAGCAGTGTGATACTGTCTGTAAAAGGCAGGAAGGTTCTGACCTTAGTGCAGACACTGGCTATGCAATCTTGCATACAACACCCGCGACCCCGCTGACGATAGTAGAAGATGTACATGGCATGTCAAGTACAAAGTGTCCATGTTCGATATGTTGTTCAGCGGGGGACCCAGTCGGAACATTCAACGCCATTCTAAGCTCGAGCAGCATGGTTTCGAATGATATTGATGGCTGATCATTCCTCACATTGTGGTCTATCCCTGTGAAAGTGCAACTCCCGGAATCCTACATCTACCGCTGTAAATAGATGTACCGCGTTTTAATCTTACATGTGATGTACTAGAGGCTATTTTTTGGCTGACTCGCTTAAGGGATAGACAGTGAAGGCTGAGCCTAGTCCTTGCGAGCTGTCCCTTTGACTTAGGTAGGTCCAGTCTGAGGTGAGCTCTGTTTACTAGGGCTCTGATATAGACCCGACCCAATGGCCATAGTCATGTGCCCCATCCCTCGCTATAGCTTCCCCCTATCTAGCCCCCTAGGACCCGTGCTATAAGTATGAGCCACAACAGCCGGTCCAAAAGTACTCTTTTCGATTGAAACACAAAAGATTTCAGAAGTAACAGGCGTACCGGTCATTTCGGGGCGAGAATGAGGGGTACAGGAGGCTTCAATAGTGGGGGACATGTCACAGATGGCGGATTTTCATGGGGATCTGACTATGGGCAGGAGGGTGGGTGGATGAAGGGGAATGGAGGGGTAGCCATGTTGTCGACAAAGAAAAAGTGTTGAATGTGAAAAAAAAGAAAGTTGTCGAAAAAAAAAAGAAAGATCACTGACTCCTACTACCGGTGATTGATATCTCTTACGAGGGGGTGGAAGGGGTGGTGCGTGTCCTGTTATAAGTTCCTGCTCTTTACTGCCCTCCCTGCCCTCCCTGCCCACTGCCCTTCTCCTCCATGCTTTCCCTTCATGGCGACCACCTCCTCCCCGTCAGCTCCTCCGACGACCTCGACCCCTACTCCCACTGCCCCTTCCTCCACCTCCCCCTCCCTCCCGCAAGCTCCGGCACAAGCTGCGAATTTGGACTGACCTGTTTTCCTCCCACAAAGGACCTCCAGTCTCTGCTCCTCTCAGGCATGGACGACGCTGACGCCGCCTTCCTCGACCTCCTCGCCCTTCCCGTTGACAGCCCCTCGACTCGCCCCCCCCTCCCCCCCTCCCCCCCCCCCGTCCTCCTCCCCTGCTGATATCCAGCCCCGCTGGGACGCCGACGCCCGACGCCGCCATAGCCGCGCATGCTCCGGCAAGACCCGCCTCTCCCCCCGGGACAAGCTCGACATCATCAGCCTCTACTACCTGTCCGACGTCGTCTCGCCGCTGAGCAGCCGGAGGGCGGTACACCAGTGGGACCTGGCGGCGAGGTACGGGAAGAGCCGGGCGGCGATCAGCAAGCTGCTGAAGCCGGAGTACGCGAGGAAGGTGGTAACGTCGGGAGAGGGGGGGAAGGTGCAGAACAAGGCGAAGATCCTGCGGAGGATCAAGGAGGAGGAGGCAAGCAAGAGGGAGCAGGGAGGGGGAGGCAGGGGGAGGGTCAGGCAGGAAGGCGAAGGAAGGGACGATAGGCGTGAGCAAGCATGTCTGGTGAGAGAATGAAGGGAAAGTAGTGTGACGCATACAACATGGTAGATTTTGGAGTGGAGGTTTTTGTTGATTTGGAATGAAGGAGAGAAGCCTGGGACAATGTATGAGACCTCCTGCCGCTGCGTTTTTAGCATTTGCAAGATTTGTTCTCCTTGTTTGGATACTCTCATGTACGTTCGAGTTCGGAGATATTGAAACCAGAGGATCACATCTCAAGTGAGAAACGTTGACCTTTGAGAAGGCCAGCAATCTCTTATGATTTCAGCGTGTCATCGTGACTTTTTGAGCGGAAAAAGTGTAGACAATCGAGAAGCATGTCTGCAGTCATCTCAAGAAATACCAGCTTCTGAAGTTCTGAAAATTCTGTCGAAAACTCCAACCAACAAGACCGAGGGACTGAAGAAAGAAAGGGCACTGACTGAAGAAAGAAGGAGCTTTGAGTAAAGTAACAAGAAGCAATCGTATTCCCTCCTGGTCTTGCATGCTTAGCTGCTCTCTGATAATGCGCTATCGGACTGTGACCTCTTGGTGCAGAGCGAGTGGAGCTCCGCAAGAATCCTGCGAGATATCATGAGCTTGTCAAGTGAATATGCTATGGAAGGAAGGTCAGTGTGTTGGTCAGCCACTCAAATCTATCAGTCACTTAGAAGCTTAGCAAGTTGATTGTGACTGGAAGGGCTGGCCGCACGTGTCCGCCACTTTGACAGTCCGGAACTGATCGGCCCGGCGGATCCTTCAACCGTCCTGAGGCAGACACTACTGAGAAGAGTCTGACAGCAGCCTCGGCCCAACTTGCTTCACTTCTACAGTCCTGCTGTCATACTACATACTTTTGAAATAACTTACTGACTTGTACTTGTCTCAGAGTAACTGCTGGTATCTAAAAGCTCTCCCTCCCGAAACCTGTCAGCCTTGCTATCACAAGTGCTTCCCCCAGACCTCTGCACACAGCAGCCAGTCTCGGACATTGTCCCAGGCTTCTCTCCTTCATTCCAAATCAACAAATGGTTCACAAACTCCTACGATATCCTGTACCCATGACCGTCACTCTTGCTCTACTCTCCCCCCATCCTCCCGCCTCTCTCCCTCCTTCCCCTCCCTGCTCCCTCTTGCTTGCCTCCTCCTCCTTGATCCTCTCCAGGATCTTCGCCTTGTTCTGCACCTTCCCCCCCTCTCCCGACGTTACCACCTTCCTCGCGTACTCCGGCTTCAGCAGCTTGCTGATCGCCGCCCGGCTCTTCCCGTACCTCACCGCCAGGTCCCACTGGTGTACCGCCCTCCGGCTGCTCAGCGGCGAGACGTCGGACAGGTAGTAGAGGCTGATGATGTCGAGCTTGTCCCGGGGGGAGAGGCGGGTCTTGCCGGAGCATGCGCGGCTATGGCGGCGTCGGGCGTCGGCGTCCCAGCGGGGCTGGATATCAGCAGGGGAGGAGACGGGGGGAAGGAGGGGGGGAGGGGAGGGGGCAGTCGACGGGCTGTCGACGGGAAGGGCGAGAGGCTGGACGTCGTCGGTCAGGGAGGGGGCAGGGAAGACAGGATCGAAACCAGGCCAGAGGGCGCAGGGGGGGGAGGAGCAGAGCTGGAAGCTGCAGCCACAGCATTCACCGGGGCTTGCGGGAGGGAGGGGGAGGCGGAGGAAGGGGCAGTGGGAGTAGGGGTCGAGGTCGTCGGAGAAGCTGACGGGGAGAAGGTCGGAGACAAGGAAGGCCATGGAAGAGGGCAGTGAGAGAGGACAAGTGAACAGAGAACTGAACTGCCGCAGGATAGCAGAAGCAAGGAAAGGAGGGAACAAGCAGATGGAAGGAAAGCAGAGAACAGCACAGGAAGAGGAGGAGGTGGTGGTGGTGGAAGAGGAGGAGGATAGCGGTCAAGTGGATGAGGAGGAGGAGGAGGTTCTGGTGGTGGTGGAGGAGGAGGAGGCGAGCGTGAGGACGTGGGCCAGGGATTTTTTAACCACTTCGTGCTACCCTCCACCCCCTGTGTTTAGGAATTATTTACACCACAGGTGGGTACTTCAGGATAAGTTGAATCCTTCCACCCCTATCAGATCTGAACCCCTCCATACAAGGATCACACACTACCCCCACCTGGCTGTTGACCTATCCCACTCCCAAGCGAGTACGGGTGGTACCGGATGTGTCACCGACTCTGAGGGGCAGTGGGTGGGTGGAAAAAAAATGTTGATGTAAAAAAAAAACCTTGTCAGCAAACTGCGTAACGGATCCTTCACCACCCCTCCGAACTACCTTCATATGACCCCTAGAGGCACAGCGAGGCCGTTGAGACGGTTGACCCCCGGGAGTCCACTGATAAGTTGGTTTCAAGTTTCTCTATTTCAGTCGCTTCCTCGTTTCAACTTCGGAATCACCTCTGATCCTAGTTCATGCCCTAGTGGACGACCCCCGCCCGGGCATCCCCTGCGGCCCGGCCGCCGTCACTGTCACGGTATCAGTGACGGTGCGCCGATGGCGGCACTGCAGCGCCGTTGAAGAGTCCACATTGCGGCCCCCTGAAGATCCAATCGTCCGCCGACAGGACGGTGCGGAGGGAAGGACTAGGGCTAGTGCTCCTTGCTACTAAGGCCGTCTAGTATGAACAGTCGTTTGCATGATTTTGCAAAGTTGACGATCAAGGCTAAGCTACTGGCAGCAGTGCGAAGGAGATCTATCTCTCTTTATTCTCACACAACAACTTGGCACACCCGGTGACCCCCCTGGCAAGCCAACACACACTGGTCTGGCACGTCCCTTACCGGGCCTTGGGTAGGTCCAGTCTGAGGTGAGCTCGCTGTGCTAGGCCGCTCTCTTCAGTACGCGGCGGGGGCTGAGACTCGCGGCGTTACAGCAGTGCGGACCCCTCAACCACAGGTAGGACTAGGTAGGTAACAGTAGGACTCTACAAACAGCCGCTCGTCAAAGATTCTATCAGAGCTCTGCCAAGGCGAGCTCAAGCCCCCGCAGGAAGGAATCTTATTCAGCAGGAGTGGGCAGCAAGAGAAGTATGGTCTTCTCTTCCAGCCACAAGGGCAGCAAGGGTCCT